TAAACATTCAAACTGTGGCACATGTATATGATTTGTCAGTGTGCATGCTCGTTACCTTGCAGTAGCCGACTGAGTTCGCGAAGTTCGATCGCCCTTCTGCAGAATCTTCCAAGCAGTGTAAGGACAGCAAAAGCAGAACGTCGCTTGAAAGAGAGATTGATACAGGAGGTATTATTTTTTTAAATGTTTTTAATCGTTCAAATTTCTTATTTATCATAATTAAATGTTCTAAATTGTTCTGTAGTTTAGATAATTTTATTAAATTGAAATACTAATGTTTAAGATGATTTATACTTCAATTCAATTTTTTATTACATAGGGTATAATTTCTGATGAAGATGAAGAAAGTCACTTGAGTCCTGCTGAGCAGAGAGCATTAAGGGCAGAAAAGCGTGCAGCATGGAGACAAGCACGTTTAAAATCTCTGGAACAAGTAATTATCAATATTACTTTCCATAATTGGATAATGCATACAGTAAATAGTATTTACATTGAATCATGTATTAAATGTTTGTATTCAGGATGCTATTCAAGCACAGATAGTAATTAAGAAAATGAATGAAATGATGGATACTACAAATAAGACAGATCCTATGCAGGATTCCACAGACGCTGTTATTGCAGTTCCCGAAACAGAAAAAGCAACTGATGTAAGCATCCATAATATACTTTGCTCTAATCATACCACCAATAAACTAAAACAATAAACACTATTTAACGATGTGTTTAAAACAGATTAACCAGCATTTTTTATTGTACTACTAATTATTTCTTTGCTCGCCTGTAGTTCTAACTTAGTGTTCGTATATTTATAATGTTACATTAACTACAGTGGTACCCCCTTTGTCTGTCTTACTATCATAGTTCACTACGTTACGGCCGTCTAGTGCAGATTTTCCCAAACTTGCTGTACGCAGCAAGGTGGGTCCCCCTAAAGAGATACGCGAATCCGAGAAAGTAGTGGACGAGAAGGTCACTCGGCGTACCGAGGAATACGTGGATGAGGTGACGGGTGAACGGCGTGTCCGAACAGTCGAATACGTCGAGAAGCTCATTGAGCGACAGGTATTATAAATCCTAGAGTTTGCACAAAATTTAAGCACCGAATATTATCTGTTCACATCAACGACTCGAGACGTGTTTTGAGTAAAGTTCAGTTCTTCAACTATTGTACTGGAACTTCAATTTATTATAATTGACATATAATATAATATCATTATAGGAGCAAATTATTACAAGTAATTACAATTTTTGGAAAATTATTATAATGTGTGCAAATAAAATTACAATTCGAAGTTTTAGTACAAACACTTGGCACAATAAAAAAAAGTTGAAAATATAAATTACAGCAAAATTATGATTGGAGTATTATATTAATACTCTAATTAATTTAATTAGGACAAGGTGATATTCCTAAAAGTTTGAATAAAGGGAACTAAAGTTGTATTCTTTAGAAAGAAAGAATATGTGTTGTTTGTATGTTGCATTTTATATGTATGTGCTCATATATTTATAATATTAAAGTAATGTGTGTGCATATGCATGCTGCTCTTAAAAATATTTTTGCCTTAATGCACAAAATTTAATGAAAACACTAGTTCAATGGTTGTGTTTGTTGTTCCAAGAATCCAGCACTGACCATGGAAGTGCAACCTGCACCACCTTGAGCAATTGATTTCATTTCCACTGATCACTAACAAACCTCTTCTCGTACTATTGGTAATGCTGCTATTGATTTTTCTTATTCACTACTTACGCATGTATGAAGGTATTTCCTTTCTAAATAATTACTACAATTATTTTGGTGGTATAGCTATATATCAAGTATTACTACTTTAAAGTATTATAAATTTCATCTGATTTTGTAATATATATATATATATTTTTATATATCCTATGTTTATTGTAATTAAATTAATAATTACACGTATCAGTGCAAAAATTTCTCTGTTCTACTTTAGTATTTGCAATGTATATATTTATGTAATTAGGTTGAAACTCTACGAGAAAAGATTATATCACTGGAATTAAGTAACGCAGAAGATGAAGTAGAAAGTATTATCGGAACAGGAGCAAGTGATGCTGAAAGTGAAAACGAAGAAATTACTGGGCAACCTTCTAATGTGAGTACCTCGCAGGAAAAAATCGAAACAATTATACCTACAAATGCCACTGAAGATGCCGCTCTTAAAATAAGTGCAAATACTGTTCTTGTTTCAAAGAAAAAGAAACGAAAACGTTCGAAAAAAGGTCGTCATTAATCTCAGATAAAAATGTTGGTGCAAAATGAAGAAAGATGTATGGAAGAACGATTGTGAAATTCTTTTTTTACATCATTGTGAAAGTGTGTTTCAATAATACAAATTTTGCATTGTATTAATTCACTTCAGACATTTCAGAATTCAAATCCTTGTCACATCGGTGCATATAATATTAAAAAATCTTTTATTGTGTGCTGCTTTTTTTGAAGCATACACATATATGCATAATTTCAACGTATAATTTCATATCTATCATTTAATGTAATTGGCATCTGGAATTACATTTATTTCTTTTATAGATCGTGCTATGTTTTTGGTATTAAACATAATTGAAGTAATGCATGTTTTATTAGCATTAGCCGCGTCATAGTTTCCCTGTACTGGTGCAACATAATAATTATTGCAATCGATTTCTTTATTTCTTTAAACATGATAGAATTTGTATTTTATACTTTACAACATTGATAAAAGATACTTCAGTGCTGAAGAAATTAGGATATAATATCGAAATAGTATTTTTACAGTCAGTACTATGGTCATATATCTTATGAAATATATTTACTAAAGTCAGTTCATACGAAAAATTGATGTGATTCTACAATACTACATTGTTCTATATAAAATGATACACATTCCTTTTGCAGTTTTTGTTTCTTAGTTTAAAAAAATAATGTATTTTAATATAAGCAATTCCTCAGTTTAAATAGAAATATAGAAGCAGTATTTATGATAATTGAAACGAACAATATACAAATGAAAAATTTTTAATCAAATTATAATATACAATTGGTTTTTGAGCGTATGTAAAATATATTATTAGTTAGTTTTTAAAAGTAAAAAATAATGTGAACTACAGCTATTTGTTGTGGTTTGTAAAGTATTTTATTTATTTTCCTTTAGCAATAAATATATTAATATATATGTTATGCAAAACTGTTTTAATATACTCTAGGATTCATTTTAAAAGTCACATTATATATAATTTCATTGTTAAATATCAACGTAGTTTTTGATTCTTTAGAAAAAAGTTTATTTAAAATTTATTATTCATTCTAATATCAAAGTTTCCATTAATGTAATGAATGAGTATTAAATTTTTGAGTTGTTTCAAATATATTATACACATTCATAATTTCATTTTCTTTCAAATTTATTTGTTTTAATTTATTTTTTATTTACACCAACGGTAGTTACGCTTTATCGTTGGCATATTTTACAGTATACATACATTATATAATGTCATAATTAGATAATGTCCTCAATTGCATAAAAATATACGTAAGAAAGTTAGCCAATGAGTATCAAATACTTAAGAAAAATAAAAAAAGCTTAATTTCATTAAGAAAATAAAATATCTACTATAATTGAAGAATGGAATATGTAAAATATATACTGTTCCTTTATTGCTGACAGTACCTTTAATAAATATACATGTATGAGATTACAAAAATATAATTTTCATTTAAAAAGTTTTTGTGGCAATGTTATGTAATAGTAATACTAAATATATTATCTAATAAATCTGAACATCAACAAATTTGTAATCTCGTATAGTCCCAATATGTATACTTACCTAGATTGAAATTACAATATATATCAATAAAAAAAGATAAAAAATCACAATAGTTTTTCAGATTTAACATTTTTTATTTTTCACATACTTGCGATAGTAATACAAATCATCTTAAGTATAAAAATATCATTTTATATAGATCATATACATTTTTCAGTAAAACAGACCATATTATTAGTATTAAGATTTATGAAAATTATAAATGTAAAATTAAATACTTAGCATAAGTAAGTATTAATTGAAACAAGTATACTATTAACTGCGGTGTAAAGTGCGATTAAAGGAGCGGGACCAATTTATTAAATTATTCATAAGATTATAAAAGAAAGAAATATATATTGCTGTTTTCTTTCAAATAAGCATTATACATAATTTAATGTACGTTTATTATCGGCCATGGCATTACTTTGGAATTGTGCCAATACTGTTCTTTCTAGAAATAATTTAAAACATAAATACTTTTCAAATCATTTTGATCATCAATTGAAACATTTTTATGATATTATAAATAGCATTATAAGAACGATTATAATAGTTATAGCGTTAAAAATTATATAAAATATCTTGACACAATAATAATTATCTTTAATGAATTATGACATTTCATTAAAATAATTCAGTGAAAGTAAATTTAAAAAACAAATTAATTAGAATGAAAAAAAATACCATCATTCTTCAACATTGTTGACAAATTATATCTTATTATGAACTTGTATTATTATTAATATAAAAACAAATCTATAGTTGGAAACTCTTATTTTAGAAGTACTTTACATCGACGTTAAATTCAATAATAGGCATAATTTGTATGTACTTTTGAAATATTTGTATTTGTTTTAATAATTAATTATAAAGAGAAATATTACATTCTGTCTACGTATATTTTATATTTTGATAATACAATATACCTGGTTATATTAAACAATAAACTGAAACAGCTAATTTATATAAATAAATTTTAAAAAATGTATTTTATATACAATAAAAAAAACTTCATGTAATTAGTACCTTAATATTTGTGGTACTGTTATGCGTTAACAAATTAAAAATATTTATTTATCTATGTTTTCTATTAAACAATATTTATACATTTTACACTGTTCAACAAATTTGTAAACAAAAGATATATGTAACTGCAAATCATGAAATAAGAAAAAACACGTAAATAAAATATTTTAATGTTTTTATAATAATCTTATTATCAAATTAAAATAAATGAAATTGATATAAACAAAAGAAATTAATATGCTATTTTTATATTATATATTATATTCATTTTATCTCTTTGGTGCAATGATCCCCTCTAATTGCGTCTGAAATAAAAGTAATAGCAGCTTAGTGAATTTTTCATAGTTGTTTAAGATTAATATAAAAATTATATGCAAAAATTTACTTTGAGTTGCTGATTTGTCTTTTTCAAAAATTGTATTTCTTCCATGTGTTTTTTCTCTTCAGCTTCTCTTAATTCAGCTGCTCTTCTTTCAGCTTGTTCAAATTTCTGTTTAAGTTCAAGAACTGTTTTTTCTAATTCAGTCTTTTGTGATTGAAGCTCATCTGCAGCAGCAATTAAATCTTCCTTCCCTTGCTCAGCCTATAAATCCAAAGTGATATTGAAGTTTTAAGTTTTGTTACTGCATACTTTCTTATACACATATTAAGAGAAAACAGTACAGAAAACATACTTGTAGAGCTTTACGCATACCAAAGGCGATACTACTTTGATACAAAGTTTGATATGCAGCTAATGTCATCTTAAGTTCATCTCGAATTCTAAGTAAAAGTAATCCACGTTCTGCACAGTTTATTGTCACCTGGCGTATTATTTCATCTACAAAATAGTATTACTAAAGTGTAATTTTGATTATACAATATTTAAAAATTAACATCCAATAAAAGATCTTTACCAAAACATTGTGTATAAAGCTCTCTACGTACTGGACAAATACCAGTTTCTCTTGCTTGTCTTTGTTGCAACTTCATATCTAGATGTTCTTGTAGATTAATAACATCTAATCTTGTTGCTGGTGTACTTGATACCTAATAGAAAATAATACATACAACATCATAGTAAATTACTTATAACGTAAAACGGAAAAATATTGTACCTGTTGAGTCCAAATTTGACCATCCTCTTCCCATTGTTTAGGCGGTAAAATTTTATTGAGAATTTCAGAAGTTTCATGTCTTGTATCAAGCGTAGGAATAGTGGTTTCAACTTTACAAACTGTTACTCCAATTTTTGGCACTTGTTCTTTCGTTACCTGTTTTAATAAGAAATGTTAGATAATTTATAATAAATTGTAATCTTAATTATAAGTATAATTAATTTAATGAGGAGAAAGATGATATTTGCTTTATTAATAAAAATTGTACCTTTTCTGGACGAATTGTGACTAGGACTGGATTATCATATTTAACTAAAGTATCCATAATAGGAATAACACGATCCTTTATTACTGTTGCCATTATATTGCTGATTTATTCAAAATTTGTTGTACAACAATCAGTATATTTCAAAAAATGAAATCGTTTACGCATTTGTAAATATCTAACCGTTTACTTTTGTTATGAACGGAATTTGAATCTAAGAACAATTGTCATAGCAATATTGATGTATCACATGTTGCTAAGTAAAATATATATAATTAATTAATTAATGTAAGATTAGAGAAGAGCTTCATGCATAGATTGAATAATACATATTTTATTATTATAAACATGATAAAATCACATAAATTATTTATACAATATACTCTTATATAAACTTTTTAAAAATATATCATGTACATGTAATATAAAATAATATAATTCTTAAATTAAATCTTTGCAAATGTCAGATCTATATAAAATTTTCTTTATATCTTTATTAAAAATATCTTTGTAATAACTTTTAGTAACAATCAAATTATTATAGAAGTAATTTGTGTAAATTTATTGTACTATCATTAATATACATATATTATAATTCAGAATGTCTCTGCAAAATCCTTGATTCAAGATCTGCATGAAGCTTTTGAACAGTTCTCGTATATTTTTTAATATGCTTCTCCATGGTAGAGTTGTCTAAATCATATGGTTCGCCTTGACGTGCAGCTTCTAAAGCAGCTTCCGTGTGCAAATGACGCAATTTTAGCAATCTTCCTTCGTAGTGTAATAACTCCTCCTAATAATAAAATACAATAATAATATATCAAATAGAAATATAATTTCTTTAATTACATATATGTATATCTACTTTTAGCGAAGAACGTTCTTCTGGGGAGAATCCAGATTGTAATACAATACGCCATAAGCCTTGAATTTTGGGTTCTACGAACTCTTTATGATTTGGTCCTTTTGCGGTCAATCTATCCAAACGATCAAATCCGTTTCTAATTTCCAAATGTTTTTCCCTGAAATTATATATTCAAAAATTTATGAAATATATATTAAATATACACAGGCAACATGCATACCTAAGTAAAGCTGCTTTTTCTAAATAATCTAATTTCTTTTCAGGAATCTTGTTGGAAATTTCTTCCTTGTGATTTATTTCATTCCAACTTTCTGGTTTGTGATATAGACTATCTGTGTATACAAAACAATTATTTCACTTCATATATATATAAAGTATATATATATATATATATATACATATGATGAAATTACTAACTTTTATGTGTTTCTGTATCACCATCTTCTACATCTTTCAAAAGACTCAGATATTCATCCATTTTATCCTGGTGATGTTGAAACTCTTCCTTCAAAGCTTGTAATTCTTCATCTATTGATCACATTTATCAAGTACAATTAAATAATTTTTTAATTGAAAAACATAAACAATCTTCCATAGTACTTACGTGTGAAACCTGCCAATTCAGCTTTAGCCCACAAATTGTTTAATTTGCTATCTTTAAAAACATCTCTGGAAATATAATTACTACCATCATTCAGAGCTTTATGTCTCTTTAATAATTCTGGATCCTCTGTATCTTCAAAGTGCTCTAATAATCCATAAGTGCTCATAATTCCTTTAAATAAATAAAAAAATCAATTAAAACATACATACTACATACACAAAATTATACACACTAAGATCTTTTATTCAATCTTTCAAATTACCAATCAGTTTTTTTCTTAAACGCGCTTCTTCTTCACCATTGGGATCTTTTCCATCAGACTTAAAATGTTTATACGCAATTTCCTCTTTATCATGGATTTTCAGATCACTGAATATTGAGTGTAATTTGGTATCTGTTAAACGCTAAAAGAATTAATTTACATATAGATATATTTGTAAATATACATTAAATAATCTATTTCTATAAATAGTTAATACTTACATTTTTTGCTTTTACCCATACTACATTTAATTTTGCCATACGAAATGGTTTATCCAATTCACGAAGAGAGGTTGGAAATTGTAAGGGGTCTTCATATTTTGGTTTATTTGCTTCTTCGGAATATTTATTAAATGCAACAGTTACATGAAATAATAAAATAAAAAAACTTATTGATACACAGATTTTGTTTAAAAATGTCATGATGTTCCACTTTCAGTGAGTTTCGTTATTAGTCACTAGGCATGTAATTACTTGTTTATATATATAGAATCATTGACTAAATAGAATCAATGCTATTATCCTTATCTTGTCTTATTGTTAGTGTATTCTTTATCTGTTAGAGGATCTATATTATCCTATATATTTACAATATATATATATTTATCACGGTTACATGAATTGAAATGCTAGCGCCGCGTAGCGGTGAAACGCTGAAACTAATTTATATTTCTGTCCTTGTCGCATGCTGTTGCTCTCCTAATAGGATTTTCTGTTTTTAGTACCACCAAGTTATCAATAGATGGCGCCACTATTGCCTCTAATGTAGCGACCTATAGTTCCTCGAGTACGAGTTTCAAACACCAACTTGCACAAGTCGCAAGTGGCTGTGCGCCTAGCGTCGAAGTCAACCGATATTCGATGTTAAGCAAACAGAGTGCGGAACCGCTAGGATGGGTGG